GAAAAAAATTTAAATATTATACAGTTTTAGAAAAATATAAGCCTAAAAGTTTTTATTTTTCAAGATAATTAGTGTACCCTCTTAAATGGATCACCCTCTGGTATATATTATATATATTTATAATTTCAGTCTAAATAGTTATGTTTACAATTATTTTTAAACTTAATGTATTTTTTTCATGATAGCCATCTTTAGCTCAATGTCAAGAGAAAACAGAACCCAAGCGAAAAGGAAGAGTAGAAAATGTTTAAAAATGACTTTAAACATTGATATTTTATCAATTTCAATGGTCTAAAACTCTGCAACGCCACTGTTTCTCATTTTGAATAAGTGCAGCTACTAGCTTTTAACTGAGTGTTATGACTAATTAATATTGAGTAATAACTTAAGTATCAGTAAATTATTCATAAATACAGTCTGGTGATTATTTTGTGATAAAATATTGTTTCATGTTTGTCATTGTTGATGTTTTTGTTACCATTTTCTTGTTATTTATTTAACATAATTTGATATACTATAGGTATATAATATTATAGTATTAATTGTTGTTGATTTATCTTTCTGTACAATTACATACATATGTATTTTATAATAAATGCTCAATACTTTAACATAATATGTAAAAAAAAAACTTTAACTATTTGTTATTTATTAAACATTGTTTTGTTGATATGTTTTTTCTGATTTATTAGAAAATTGTTTAAGGTAACAGAAAGATAGAACAAAACTATTAATTTCAGATCTTGACTATATTATACATACAAAAAAATGCATACATCAACAATAAAAAATACAATAAGCTCAAAAAAAAGTATCAAAGGTGAATCAATTGAAAATAATATCAATATGTATTATGTGCATTTTTATTAAAAATTATTAACATATAGCTGATTTTTATGTTAATATAAGTGAATAATGTTWAACCATTGAATAAACAAAAAAGTATTATTATCATACTTCAGATTGAGCTGATGTTTATGTATAATTTATGAAATACTGAAATAGTATTGTGAAAACAGTATGGGGCAGTATTTTCAACATGGTATAGAAGATCAAAGATATCAAATATTTTACTCAGGTCCAATGATTATTTTTAGAACTAAATAACTTAACTAATTTGATTTATTTCTTATGCTTGTCAAAAAAACTATTAGTTACTACTTAATTGATTAAGTAATACCCAGTAGGTAATAAACTAACATTTTTTAATAATAAAAATAAAAACAAAGATGTTTGAATAGGATACTACATTATTYTTAAGTTATTACCTATTAATCAATATGTATTTATAGGTCATTTTTATTTAATATTTGCAATTTGTGAATATTTCAATTCATTCATTTTAGTTTTTTCTATCTTACTAACACAAGGATTATCACGAATATAATACCTTAGGAATTTATCTTGCCATTTTTTTTCACATTTAATACCTATTCTCGGTGAGCAAACAATTGTGTCGATTAATTTACTTTTTTCATCTTCTTCTACCCACATTCCATCCCATGAAGTCAGATCTTGTTTATTACAAGATTTTATATCAATCCCAAAGCTGATACATAACTTTGCAGGGCCATTGCACAAATCTTTATTCATCATCACTGTTTTTGTGCATTTCCTAAATTGTTTTCGTAGAGATATCATAGTGTCCAAATTATCCAAAGGCTCTATTGACCTCAACAAAACTGCAGCACCATCTCCTATCAAGATTAAACAGTTTTTAATTGTAATCAATAATGTGGTTGTAACAATTTAATAACTAATAATACCTTTGCTTGAAATATTAAAGCAATGGTACATTCCATATGTCATATAAACATAAGCTGTTCCTGGTTTCATGAACATAGGTTCATTTCGAGGCGTGACTTTTCCTTTAAATGATTGGGAAGCAGCATCTTCATGGCCCAGATAGCTTTCTGTTTCAACAATTCTACCCCTAACAATGATGCCGTCATCCAGTCGTCTGACAAGTACTTTACCCAGTAAACTCATGGC